CGGACTACGAAACCCGTTATACACCATTCGAAAAGACTTGCTGCGCATTGGTGTGGGTCACTCAACGTCTCAGACAGTATATGGCCCGACATACAACATGGTTGGTCTCCAAAATGGATCCAATCAAATACCTCTTCGAGAAGCCCATTCTGACTGGAAGAATAGCTAGGTGGCAAGTTCTCCTCTCAGAATTTGACATTATCCATGTCACCCAGAAAGCTGTTAAAGGAAGTCCCCTAGCAGATTATCTAGCCCATGGGTCCACAGATGAATACCAGTCCTTACAAGACGACTTTCCCGATGAGCATATCATGCACATCGAACACGAAGAGACCAAAGAAGAGATGTGGACCATGTTCTTCGATGGGGCTTCCAACATGCTTGGACACGGGGTAGGAGCTATTTTGATATCCCCCGAAAAGAAACACATTCCTGTAACGGCCAGACTAAATTTCGATTGCACCAACAACATGGCCGAATACGAAGCATGTGCGCTAGGAATCCGAGCAGCTTTAGATCATGGGGTCACTAAGCTCAAAATATTCGGTGATTCATCCCTTGTCATCTATCAACTTAAAGGTGAATGGGAAACCCGAAATGCCAAATTAATCCCATATCTAGAGTACATCCACGAGATGGTCTCAAGAATGGAAAGCGTAACTTTCCAGTACATCCCTCGGGAAGACAATCAGATTGCCGACGCCCTCGCCACTCTATCATCCATGTTTGCCCTGGACCAAGAACATGAGATGCCAATCATTCAAGTCAAACTGCATGATAAACAAGCTTTCGCATGGCGATAAATGACGAGCGCGATCAAAACCCCCGGTACCATGACATCAAGCGGTACCTCATGAAGGGAGAATACCCCGAGGGAATCAGTGACAATGATAAGCGAACCATTCGCAAAAGGGCCATAGGGTTCACGTTGATTGAAGGAACCCTCTACAAAAAGAGCCCCGATTCCACCCTCTTAAGGTGTATGGACCAAGAAGAAGCCCAAACACTGATAAAAGAAATCCACAAGGGGACTTTTGGAACCCACGCACTCAGGCATGTCATGACAAAGAAAATCCTCAGGGCAGGGTACTATTGGTCCACGATGGAAGCTGATTGTCACCAATATGCCAAGAAATGTCATAAGTGCCAAGTATACGCCGATAACATTCATGTGCCGCCCACACCTCTCAGCAACCTGGCTACACCATGGCCATTTTCTATGTGGGGCATAGATGTCATCGGACCCATCGAGCCCAAAGCATCTAACGACCATCGCTTCATATTGATAGCAATTGACTATTTCACCAAGTGGGTTGAGGCAGCGTCGTACGCACATGTAACCCGGAAAGTGGTGACCACCTTCATCAAGAAAAACATCATATGTCGGTACGGCATCCCTCATAAGCTCATTACTGATAATGGGACCAACCTCAACAATAAAATGATGGAGGAATTATGCCAAGACTTCAAAATTCAACACCACAATTCCTCTCCGTACCGACCAAAGATGAACGGTGCAGTAGAGGCAGCCAACAAAAATATCAAGAAAATCATTCAGAAAATGGTGGTCACCTATAAAGACTGGCATGAAACGCTTCCTTTTGCCTTGCATGGCTACCGGACGTCGGTACGAACCTCCACAGGGGCTACCCCGTTTTCCCTCGTATACGGAATGGAGGCCGTGCTACCAGTAGAAGTCGAAATACCCTCTCTGCGGGTTGTCATGGAAGCCAAATTGACAGAAGCTGAATGGGTCCAAAACCGGTATGATCAGTTGAACCTAATAGAAGAAAAACGACTGGATGCCATATGTCGGGGGCAAGCTTATCAGCGGAAAATCAAGAAAGCCTACGACAAGAAGGTCAATCCCCGCACTTTCCAAGAAGGAGATCTAGTAGTAAAGAAACTGCTCCCAGCCCAGAAAGACAAAATCGGGAAATGGGCAGCCAACTACGAAGGACCCTTTGTTGTCAAGCGAGCCTTCTCAGGAGGAGCCCTTATCCTCACCAAAATGGATGGAGAAGAGCTCCGATATCCTGTCAACTCAGATGCGGTGAAAAAATACTACGCCTAAAGACATTGCTCATGACCCGTCAGGATGAAAACTCGCAAAGAGCGTCCTGGGCAAAAGATAGGGTCTATATTCCTCGCTAGGACACGTCCTAGGCAAAAATTAGAGGTGCAAAAGAAAAAAAAGAAGAGAGAAGAGCAATGATTACCTTAGCCGAAAACCGCAAAGGCGACTAAGGTAATACTTCCGCAATAGCAAGCAGACTTCGCATAGTCTTTACTCCGGACTCGGACATCTCAACTGAAGGGACCAGGAGAAATGGGGAAACAAAGATCACAAGACATGATTGTGGCACCCTCATACAGTTTAGCCAACCCTGGCCAGCCATGCTTACAAATTCCTTTGTAAAACCCCCATGTAAAAATAAACCATCTGGTTACATCAATAAAATTGTCTTTTTCTCTTTACCTACTTGTGTAAATGCCTCTATATTAACGAAATATGAGCATGCATAAAACAAGCAATTCGAGAAAGCATATAAACAAAAGACGCATATCACCAACCAGGGTCGTCACAAGTAAAAAGTACAAGGCAGCCTGCTAGATCGAAAACCCACAAAGGGCGGTCTGGGCAAAAGATAAGGCTTTCGTAAAAAGAAGAAAAAAGCCCATCAAAATGTCTCAAAACAAAGAATCAAAACCCGCTAGATTGAAAACCCGCAAAGGGCAGTCTAGGCAAAAAATAGGGTCAAAACAAAAAGTGCAAAAAGAATAATCACGAGAGAACAAAAGGGGAAGCACCAGTCACTTTCTAAGATGTCCTCAATTAAAAACAAATTGCATAAAAAGCATCCACACGCACAAGTAGTTGCACAAAAATGACTTTGTCAAAAGCAAAACAAACGAATAAAAGATCAAAGAGCATTCATACCTGCATTCTTAAAAAAAAAAGAAAAAAAAAGAAAAGAAAAAGGGGGGTATCCCAACATGACTTCGCCAACCTTTTTGCCTCTCTTCGCAAAAGCCAGCGTAACAGAAAAGAAGCTTGAAAAGAAAAAAGGCACACGCCCAATAAAAAGCCAGAATCCAAAATCGCGAGAAAAAAGAGATAAAACCGCGAGAAAAAGGCAGGATTAAGCCATCACAACAACCAACAAAGTTTCGACAAGAGTCGAACAAACAACAAAATCCCCGGCGCAGCCCGGATGACCATTCCAGAAAGATCCAACCACAACTACCAAAACACAGAAGTCACTCCCCAGGGAGCCGGCGCATGATCAGAATCAGTAAGCCGCCACCATCGCCAAAGGATCAGCTACCGTAAAAAGGGGCGTCCAGAGGCACCAAACTAGACGAGGGTTCGTACTCGTCAACCAAAGGATCAGCTACCGCAGGATGGAGCATCCGGAGGTCAAACACCAGATGGGGGTGTAAACTCATCAAGCCTTACAAAAGGGGGCTTACCGGGCGGGGGTTAGTACTCGTCAAACACCAGATGGGGGTGTAAACTCATCAAGCCTTACAAAAGGGGGCTTACCGGGCGGGGGTTCGTACTCGTCAAACCAGATGGGGGTTCGTACCCATCAACCGAAGGATCGGCTCCGTCAGAAGGAGTTCCTGAGGTCTTACCACGTGTTACGAAGGATCTTGCCCGGCCTCCAAATAAAGAGCAGAAGACCTCCTATTTGAAGATGGACAAGCCTAACAAGCCATTAGGAGAGACTATTAGGCCCCATACTAGGATATGAGGGAGTTTCTGTACCAAAAAATAAGTTTTCTCGCTTCGAAGGGACGAGACCGCCTTCTGGACAACCCAGACCGCCGTCTCGCCTCGCGTAGGAGGCGAGACCGCCGTCTCGCTTAACGAGACGGCGGTCTCGCCACCTACGAAGGACGAGACGGCGGTCTCGTTCACACAAACGGCGGTCTCGCCATTTTGACAGGTCGAGACGGCGGTCTCGTTGGACGAGACGGCGGTCTCGACCCTGTCAGACGAGACCGGCGGTCTCGCCACCTGACAGCGTGAAAACCTATAAATAGGGGCTCTCCCCCCCTCATTTCCACACACCACAGCTGCATAGCTCTCCCTTCTCTCTAAAAACTTCTCTCTAGAATCCCTCCGACGCATTTCCGGAGCTTCTGAGTGCTTTCAAGAGTGATTTTCGGCATTCGAGAAGTTTTCCGACGTCTTGTAGAGTGAAGGGCTGCCATAAAGCACCCTATTTTTTAGAGAATTAATATAAAAAGCGTGCTTCGAAGGTTCAAATTCTCTCCCTTCACCTTTACTGCTTTTATCTTAAATTATGCAATAGATATTAGGGCCATGTAGTCATACTTTTAAATTCCGCAGAATAAAAAGGGCGAAAGTGTATTTTTCTAGTTTATCAATAAAATAAGCCGGCCTGTCATAGGGAACCCGAAAGGGGCGTCGTAAAGGGACTAATACTCCCTTTGCACGTAACCAACTCCCTTACCCAACTCTGGTTCTAATGACCAAAGTTGGTTTTCGAAAACCAACGCCTTTCAAAACCCCTTTTCCGATGTTTCTAGTAAAAACATTGGTGGCGACTCCATAGAACCCAAAATAAATAAAGTCCTTGGGTTAGCCCGGTTATCGGACAACTCAAGGACACCTTTCGAAAACCTCGTCTCTAGGTTAGCCCGGTTATCGGACAACCTAAGGACGTTGTAACCACCCATAAGAACGCGAAAATAAAAAGAAGAGTCGAAAAACCATCGCGTCGCTCCGACCGCAACCCCGTTTTCGGGGAGGCAGCGACAACATTGACATGCATTCTATGGAGTTTGCAGATAACATTGTTAACTTCAACAAATTTTAGGCCATGAAGCACCCCACTATGAACCATTCTATTGTGTATAATCATTTAGTTTTTATTTTAGATTTTACACATGTACATAGCATAAATGTTTTATGTACAAATCGAAATTCATATTCAGTTTCAGATTTAGATTTAGGAGTAGATATACACTTGTCACAATTTTTCGGTATTGATACAAGTTGCACTTGTGATGATTCTGGCATGTCTACCATATGTGCTAAGATTGATTTTACCATACATCCAGTTTCTACTTCTTTTGTAGGTCCAGATCCTTTGCCACAAGAGGTGATTGTAGTAGTGATGGAAATATCTGTTAATGTTCCCATACTTCCATTTCCATCAACTCAATAACAACCTTCCTTAGAGATGAAGCATTTACCTAACCATTTGAAGTATACATACCTAGATATAGATCATAGCCTTCCAATCATAATATCCAATAATATGCTTTAAGACTAGTAGGGGAAGTTGGTACAGGTTTTGAGAGTGCACTAGATAACTATTTTTTGGACACCTGCTGATATACTTGGTATTAGTCCAACCATTTGTATGCACCCAATTTTATTGGAGGATTAGTCTAGACCAATGAGACAACCACAAAGGAGACTCAATCCTACCATTCTTGATGTTGTAAAGAAGAAGGTGGCCAAGCTACTAATGGTTAGGATCATCTATTTTATTCCAGACAATACATGGTTTCACTTGTCCAAGTGGTTCCTAACAAGTCTAGTATGACTATAGTGAAAAATCAGGATAATGAGTTAATTCCTACATAGGTTGCAAATAAATGGAGAGTATGCATTGATTATAGGAAACTTAACCAGGCTACTAGGAAGGACCATTTCCCTCTCCTATTCATTGGCCAGATCTTAGAAAGGTTGGTAGGTAAATCACATTACTATTTTCTTGATGGATTTTTAGGATACATGCCTAGTCACATTGCACCAAAGGATTAGCATAAGACTACAATCATATGTCCTTTTGACACTTTTTCCTACACTAGGATTCCCTTTGACCTATGTAACAAAGCTATTACTAGGATTCCCTTTGACCTATGCACTTGGTGTTGTTTTGTTATAGTGAAATTGGTAAATTCCCTCATGTTATAACTTATGCCTCTCGCCCACTTGACCAGGTTGGTACAGAGAGGAAGCTTCTATTATAGGAGCTTGATGAGATCTTCCTAGAGGTCTATCAGAACTCAAAGATGTATAAAGAAAAAAAATGAGAAAATTCCATGATAAGATCTTGAGGAAAGAGTTATGTTGTTTAACTCTCACTTAAAACTTATTATAGGTAAACATGGTTCTAGATGGGATGAACATTTTGTTATTATTAAAGTTTTTCCTCCATGTTACAATTAAGATAAAAGATGAGACTACTCGTAAAGTTTTCAAGGTTAATGGTCACAAGTTGAAGTTGGCGAGACGGCTGTCTCGATTCTCAAGTGGCAAGACGGTCGTCCCGACCGGTGAGACGACCATCTCGCCTAACAAAGGTTGAGACGGCCGTCTCGGTATAACAGACACGAATTCCTATAAATAGGGGTCTCCTCCCCCTCATTATAGACCCCAAATCTTGCCCCACCTCAAAATAAGAGCAGAAGACCTCCTATTCGAAGATGGACAGAGCCTAAAAAGCCACTAGAAGAGACTATTAGGCCCCATATTAGAGTAGGAAGGCTTTTATGTACAAAAAATAAGGATTTTCGCCTTCAGGGGTCGAGACCACCGTCTCGCTTTTTGGGACCGCCGTCTCGACCAATGGCAAGTCGAGATGGTCGCCTCGCCACTTGCCATTGGCGAGACCCCCCTCCCGATTGGCGAGACGGCCCTCTCGCCATTTGGTAAGTCGATACTGTCGTCTCGCCAAACGAGACCATCGTCTCGCCACTTATTCAAGTCGAGATTGTTAGAATCGCGCAGCGGAATGTTCGCGTGGTCGGACAAAAACCAAGAGGGGGGGTGAATTGGTTACTTAATAAAAATTAGGTTTACAAAATTTTCCCCAAATTTTACCGATTAAAATCTGTGTAAATGTAAATAGAGAAAGGGATAGAGTCTTACACAGGAGATTTATACTGGTTCGGATCAAAAGACCCTACGTCCAGTTGCTAATCACTCAAACAGAGGATTAACGCTGTCACTATGATCAAAGTTGTTACAAACAAATTACAATGAAAAGATAAAGATAAGAAAACACCTCTCTTGAAATCCACAAGAGATGATGAACAGCTTTCCCTAGAGACGGCACAGCACACAATCCACTAAGAACTCCACTTAGTGATTCTTATCGCTTCTAGCCCACACCAGGTTCCAAAAGCCCCCTTTCCTTGCAACAAACAATTCTCTGGAATTAGGGTTTTCGAAACTAGGGTTCTTGGGAATAGGGTTTTCGAAAATAGGTTTGATTTGAAATTAAAACTCAAAATCTGACTGGTTTAATCGATTAAAAGAAGTGTTAATCGATTAAACCAGAGCCAAAAATCAACAGAACTCAAATCTCTCTATTTTAATCGATTAAAAGGAGGTTTAATCGAGTAAACCGCCTGATAATCGATTAAAATTTGGTTTAATCGATAAAACCAGTGAGTTGTTACAGAAAATGATTTTTCTCACTGTTTTAATCGATTATTTCCCTATTTAATCGATTAAAGCCGAGCCTGGATGATAAACTTGAGCTTTTTGAAGCTTCTAAGGTTTAGACTATGTACCGGCTATCTCAAATACTAAAATTACAGACTCAATCTAATTAAAACAGAGTTATTACACTACAAAACAAGTCTTCAACTCTCTAGGTTCTTGAGTTCTTGAATCATCATCAAAATCAACAATCTTCATGTCCATCAAGTGCAACATCAAGTCCTTGAATGTTCAACAATCTCCCCCTTTTTGATGATGATCAAAATTATCTTTTAAAGCCTTGTAATAACCTGTTTTATCTGTCATACTAACAAACACATTAAACATACCTGATAATATTTAAAAGTAATCAAATTAGGCTTTAAATATTTCTCCCCCTATTTTGATTATAATCAAAAATAACTCTGCAATAACAATCATAAGAGCTCCCCCTCAAAATATGCATAAGTTGGAGATAACTCCCCCTCAATCAAAGCATCAAGGAAACATCATATTTTATTGCAGAAAACAATCATTCATTACAATAACAAGAGAAAATACCAAAAAGAAAATAATCAACAACATTTAAAATTCTGCACTATCATCATCATTAAAGTGTGCATCAAATCTATTTTCTAAATGGCACATTTTATCATCTACATCAGATATACGGCGAATTATTTCCTCATGCCGTACTCCAGAAAGAGTGAAGAATGATTGCATCCTCTGATTCATGTCAGATAACATGTCTTCCATGGATTGTCGAGTTTCATGATGAGTAGAGGAAGTTCCAACACTTTGGATTTGGTCAGAGGGAAACTCAGTAGTTGGAGGCATATCTTCATCAGAATCTTCATTAGCATCACCTTGATTAGGAACGTCATCTTTGTGAACATAAATATCATTGACACACACCATTTGGAGTTGAATCAATGTGCTGTCCAGCATGCGGTTCAAGTTATTTGTTCTAACTGCTTGTTCACCTTCAACATTCACTCCTTTATATTCAAGAATACGAGAGACAAGTAAAGCATATGGAATTTTGAATGTGGGATGACGTTTTGCTTTTAACATGGTCATTGTGACAAGAATGCCCCAATCTAACGGCTCATTATTCATTATGGCACTAGTACAGAAATCACTTTTAACATCGGCCTTTCTACATCGGTTCTTTAAGAACCGATGTAGAAATTGAATTCAACACTTTTTACATCGGTTCCCAGATGAACCGATGTAGAAAACACTTTCTACATCGGTTCCCAGATGAACCGATGTAGAAAGTCTTTTATAAAATTAAGATAATTGTTACTGGCAAGATTCGAACCCAATACCTTAAAGTCGGAGACCGATACTCCAACCACTAAGCTACCAGGATTTTCCGATAATAACTTATACATAAATTATATTTATATACAAATAAAAATGTATATCCATGTAAATATATAAGTATAAAATATATAAATACAAATACAAATATATTTATATATTTATATGTTGGATGTGAGAGCGCGCTCGAGAGTGAAACTGTGTGTCAAGTGGGTTTTCAAAATTTGATGTCAAATTTGTGAGCAAGTATATTTATATGAATTTGTAATTTAATGATAGAATATAATCTTTATAATTTATTTATAATAATATAAAATATAATCTTTATAATTAATTTATATAATGATATAAAATAAAGAAAAAAATTATTTTATATCATTATATAAATAAATTATAAAGATTATATTTTGTCATTAAGTTATAATCCATATAAAGAGACTCGCTCACAAATTTGACATCAAATTTTGAAAATTCACTCGACACACACTTTCATCCTCGAGCGCATCCTCACATCCAACATATAAATATATAAATATATTTGTATTTGTATTTATATATTTTATATTTATATATTTACATGGATATACATTTTTATTTGTATATAAATATAATTTATGTATAAGTTATTATCGAAAAATCCTGGTAGCTTAGTGGTTGGAGTATCGACCTCCGACTCTAAGGTACTTGGGTTCAAATCTTGCCAGTGACAATTCTCTTAATCCGATAATAATTCAAATTCCTAAAAAATATAAATAATAAAAATATAATATAAAAGGGAGAGGATGGTAGAGGAGATAGATAGGGTAATTAGAGAGGGTTATGAATAAATAAAATAAATAAAAATATATAAAAATATTAGACTTTCTACATCGGTTCCTTACAACCGATGTGGAAAGTCACACTTTCTACATCGGTCGTATCTACATCGGTTCTAGAACCGATGTTAAAAGTCCCTGGGAACCGATGTTAAAAGCGTATTTTCTACTAGTGTGGCATGAATAATACGAAGATCAATGGAAGAACATTGGGCATGATTTGTAGCTCGAGGACATAGGATCCAAACAATTAGATGTAGAATCATGCGTTCCTCCTTCTTTAAAGGTCCAGCAAGAAGGAGACGTCCAATCTCCATGGAGGGATTTCGCAGAAAAGAACGGTAAGCTAAGAACCTGTCAAAATCATCTAGCTCACCATAAATGTTAATAGCATCTTCTCTAATTGGAAAGTGAGCGAAGTTTTCCCAAATATCATCGTCGAGAATAATTGTGACGCCTTTTACTCTAGAGGTAGCAATTTGATCTCTAAATTTAAATCTAGAGTAAAATACCCTAACAAGGTCAGGATAATAAGTACCTTGCATTTG